GCTGAAGGAGGCGGATGGCAGAGTAAAGAGCCCAGAAAGTGAAGGCCCTCCTGCTCTGATTTAGTTTTTTGGTTGTTATTCATCATTGAAAAACAGCGTTGAGTGGGTCACAGCTAACAAACCGGCATTTGGGATTGTGGTGAGTTATGGGATGATCGTCTTCCATTAGCTGAAATGGAGGTGCTGCAGGATAAACTCTGCTGAGGCAGAACTTGGTGGAACAAAAAGAGGGTTTTATTGTCAGCAGGTCCCAGTCAGAAGTTCAGATTGATGCATAAAGTCTGGAGAGAAAACTCTGCCTAACTCTGGGTGTTTCTGCCCTTATGTTTGGTATTCCCGTATCTGTACTTTTTGCCTTACATCAGGCTGTTTTCATCCAGGTTTGCAGCCCGAATATGGTTTTATCCATATCACAAAACCTTTTGACTTTTTCTGGTCCTCCACCAGGCCATCTCCCTTCAGACGTACAGCTAGAATATGTTTTATCCATATCATGAACATCTCCTTTTTTGTCTACTACCAGGCCGTCTCCATCTTTCCTCCATAGCTTGAGCATCCTCCTTTCACTCTACTTTAGGAATGTCTTTTCTCAAATATGCAAAATATGCTCTACTTGCAGAACAGTCTGTGCTTAACTCTGAGCTTCAGACGCTACATGATCTTCAAAGCCCAAAAGATTCCGTGTTGAGAAGCAGAAACGGGACATTTCGGGTGGATTTTGCTCTTCAGGAAGCAGAAGGTGGATTTGCATGGAAGTTTAGCTGTGATTAAAACACATCTTTATTAATGTGTGCGTCCCGCGTGCACCACAGATGCTAAAAAATCTGATCCATCCAGATGTAAACTGCTGGTATCCTCAGTGTTCCCTCAGAAGAAGACGTTATCAACGCAAAACACGCAACAGCCGAGCCTCTAATGAGAGAAAATGTGAGGAAATGTGACCTTTTTACCGTCAGAGAGGCAGACCAACTCCAGTTTGTCAGAATTAGGATAATTTAAATGTAGTCAGAGTCCGCCAAATCAAACTCAACCCATTCCAAAGCTGTCTGACTGCTTTAAAAGCTACTGAAGAAGTTTCCAAAGTAGCTAAAGAAATCAACAGATTGATTAAGAGGTTAATTAGGTGGTGGAAACGTGCTGAAAAAGGTGAAAATGAACGCTCATATTCATGTTAAACCCATTTAAACCTCAACTTGAAGCTGATTTAAAGACTCAAATGTCCTCACTGAAAAAGCAAAGGTAAAAATCTCTTTCTTGGTTGTTTTTGTTTTTGTATTTGCCGTGGGCAAAGCTCATTAAAGCCATTGTTTCTTCCACATTTCAAAGTAAATATGTCAAGATTTTAGAAAACCTTCAGTATAATGTAAGACTTCTTGGTTT